GGGGGGATTTGCATAAGAGGCCAATATCAGAGAACAGGCAGAGAGGACAGAAACATTTATGCTGCCCTAGTTAGAAAAAATAAGGGGGGGAGAAGGGGAGACAAGAAGCAAGAGGAGATACACGACAATGCAAACCCAAACCAAAACATCTCCAACAAAGCAAAGCCAGGAGAAAAACAGAGGAGACTCTGAGGTCTGAATACTAAATGAGGAAACTCCTAACAGGGAAAACCAAAGCTCACCATTCCCGAAGGGACGCATTAAAAGCTTGCGCTGCGCTCCGCTCGGCAGCGTTCGACGGGCGAGGGGCTGCCCTGCCCGGGGGGATGCTCAGACGGGACCCCGAGCCCCGGGCCGGGCTTCGAGAGGTTCCAGCAGCCAAACCCCCCCCGGGAGGAGCGGAACAAGGGCCACGGCTGCAGCTGGGAGCCACAAACACCGCGCACGGGGAGCAGGGAATGCCGTATCGCAGCCTGCCGGCAGATAAAACAGCCCCAAGCTGCAAGGAGCAGAATGCCGGAGTGCTTTCCCCGCTGGAACTGGGAGCAATCACAAATGCTAATCAACACACAGACAGGAGCCCAGCATGTCACCCGTCACGTCTCCAAAGCTCCAGGAAAACCCCCCTTTCCTCTCCTTGTATCAGAGAGGGACAGGAAGATTCCTTCATCCCCTGCATGCCTTTCCCTCCCCCTGTCCCTGGCTCAAATCATCCCTGCAAGAAGTTTCCCTCCCTGATAACTTCTCCATTGTCTCAGGTGCATTATTTGCAAATGTTCCCTAAAAATGCTTTGTAAAGTATTCTCTATTCCTTTTTCAAGTCTTTCCACATCCCTGTGTAACACCTGGACTTTATCTTGTTACCTGTCAGATGGTGATAAACCTACTGCATGCAACCCCTGACTTACCATCTAAGATAACTACAATTTGTCTTGTAGCTGTCATTTCTTTTCAAACCCTGCCTTCCACAGCTGCATTTGTAGTAGTAAGAAAATTACTTTATTTGGGCTTGAAATGTGTAACTTTTAAAGAAATAAAAATTTTAAAATCCCAATCAGCAAGAGCCCCAGGACCCAGGTTGAGAAATGAAAGAGATCACACCTTTACCCACTCACATTTACCAAATACCTGCATTTTGTGAAGTGCTTTGAAATACTCTTTGCTGACTGTCTGTGGGTTGCCCACTGTGGTCAGGATGAAGAACGAATTAGAGCAAAGGAGGTTTAAGCTGGACATCAGGGTATTTCCTGCACATCAGGAAAGTGAGGGGTCTCCACTGCAGGTCTTGAGGAGCAGGATAGAGAAAGATGTCAGGAATGAAAATCCATAGCTGATCCTGCCTTTGGGCAGAGGTCTGCATTAGATGACCTCCAAGTGCCTCCTAAGGATATTTTCCATAATTGAGAATTGTATGTGCCATCTGTCCATTCTGATCTACAGAGATTTACTGCAGAAAAAAAAAGTGCAACACAACCAATAATTATTCCTGATACAGATGCAACCTTTGTGAAGGCATCTTCTGACTACAGAAGGAACTGAAGCCTTCAGAGGTTAAATCACCTCCTGTGCATCTGCCCAGACCCTCCTGCCCTCCCAAGACAGAATGCTGCCAGTTCTTCACCCCTAACAGTCCAACCCTCAATATTCAGCTACAGAAGCATTTCATTAAGTGGCAGCTTCCTCAGCATTTTGGAAATTATTAGAGAGGCAAGGAACTGGTGCTATTTTGTTCAAGTAGCTTCACCAAGGCTGCTCAGGTGCACTGTGCAAAACCTGAAGATGGTCCATGAAGCAACCAAACCTTCTGGTCCTAAATACCAAATGTCCTGATAAAGGGGAATAACCCTCCATTGATTTGTGAGGATCTTCTCTGATTCCTTGACACACAGTTCAAGATCTCTTTCCTGGTTTTTACTTCGGATTCCAACAAAAAAAAATGTTTAATAGCTCATCTCCATTTTCAGATGGAAATCACACAATAAAGAACAACTTTGGGAATTAATCACAATCCAGATTGAATGAGAAAATGAACAAGCAGAGCTGGAGTCTGTTTGAGCTGAAGACAAACTTTGCAGGACACCAAGAGATGTTGGCACCAGCTTTTGGATGAAGAACACCTCACTGCCAGCTGTGCAGAACTCAGACTTTCCCCACACTGTGCCTTGTCCCATCTCGTGTGGGCAGAAATGTCAAACCCCAGCGAAGAGCTGAAGCATAGTGAAAATGGTGAGAAATCTGTGAAACCTTAAACATCCTGTACAGATGAGAAATCATAGAGCCATCAGTCAGCCAGGCAGAAAGGAAGTGGTAAAGGGAGAGGCTTTCCTTCAACACAAGATGGAAAAGCAGCCAGGCTCAAAACCAAGGGGGGACCAGACCCTTCTGAGAGACAGGACTGAAAGGAAGAGTAAAGATTCCCCCCAAACCTTCTGCAGAGCTGAGCTTTTCCCAGTGGTTCTTAGGAGAACCCAACCACACAGCTCTACATGAAATCCATCACTGAAGATTAAACCAAAAAGATGAAGAGCTTTCAAAAACTGATTACAGTCAAACGCAATAGCTGCAGCAGCAGCCCTCATGGAAACATCCTATTAAAACACCAGCAAAAACAGAAATGCAAACATGAGAGACCTGGCAGAACCTTTCCAGCTCAGACCTTCAGTGCCTTTTGCACCCACTGATAGGACAGAGGCTAAATACATCATTATTGGGCCAACATTCCTGGTACAGGGTGATGCTGGTTCTATTTTTTATATATAAAAATACACATGGAAAGACACAGATTATATACACATGAAAATTACAAAGGTACCACATGGGCACCATTAAAAAGGAGACTTGCTTGCCTTTTTTTTTTTTCACACCCTGCAATAATAGGTCATTTTTATTTTATGTATACACATACATGTTTGCAGTTGGTACCCACATGTTTTCTCTACAAATTCAGAGGTTCACAGCTTTCCTGGTTAATTCAGAATTTAATCCATTTGCCACATTAGACAGGATTTTGTTTCCATAGTTTTTTGTGGTACATGATTACATTTATATTGACTTTTTTATTGAGATTCAAAATAAGGTATTTCCTCCACAGAGATAACTCAATTGAAATATTTCTCACATCCTTGCTGGTTGCTTTATCTAATCTTTTTCTACCTCATTTGGGCAATATATTCCAGAGGTGTCTCTAACTGCAGGGGCTGACCATGCTTTCTCTCTCTGTTAGCTTCCCTCACGCAGAAGAACGAATTTATCAATCACTCCAGTTCTTGAGTTACATGTGCCTGAGACTTACCAGCCTGATAAGAAACTTGAAAACAAATACATCCAAAGACTGAGTTATCTAATAGTTGGCCATCTGCTTAGGAAAATAATTTTAAGTAGTTACAGCAATTCTATTAACTATTTACCAAGTGAGTCATGTTGTTCTCTTTAAGTTAACCCTTCCTGTCTCTGTGGGTTCAGTGCTCCAGGCAGTTTTGAAGAAGGTGCTCAACCACCTTTCCTCCTTTCAGGCTACAGCAAAGCCCGCAGTCCCCCTGCACCCGAGATCCCCCAAACTCACACTGTCCAGGGCACAAAAGAGCAATAAAGCAACCGTGACTCTTAGACCACACGAACGACCACGCAGAAAATCTCCTCCCAGGAGCATCCCCGGCGAGGGCACCACGCAGCAGCACCGACACAGCGGGATGGGAAGGCACCTGCTGCCTCCGGACAGCCCCGGGCAGGGCAAAAACCTGCATCCACATCCTGCCGACAGCTCCGGAGACACCCCGCACCTCCCAGCCCGTCTGTCTGTCCTCCTGCTGCCCTCTCCCCCTGCACAGGGGCGCGGGCCCCTCGGGGGGTGGCGGCTCCATCGCGGGGTACCGGGGCTGAGCGCTCCAGGCCACAGGGAAAGGAGCTCTGCTGGGGAACTTTCAGCTGCTCGGCTGAGATAAGGCAGAGCTGAGGCTTTTTGGGGGCAAGGAATGGGACAAGATCGCACAGCTTTGAAGCCATCTATTCAGTCCCTGCCCTTTTCCCTTTAACACGACTGTGAAGCGCATAGACATCTCCTTGAAAGCACTACGGAGAAGTTTGCAGGATGAAGGGTGCTCCTGTGGAATCGCTATTTTATGATTAAGCACAAATATGCGCTGAAGGGCCGGAGGAGGGCTGGGTGCAGGGAGGCAAAGTCCAGCACCTGATGTTTGAGGGAAGACCCGTGGAGCAAACATCTTGGAGCGCGGGGGTGTGTCGAGGGACTGACAGTCGGGAATCAGCACGGACTGAAAAGCACAGGCTCCGCGGGGGAAACACCATCCGAGCCGGGGAGGAGAAAGCGGTAGCAGGGCAAAATCGCCCCGTCTTGAGGCTGGGGGCTCGGCCGCACCGAGAGGGCAGGGGGCGGCCACTTTTCAAATTCGCGGGACAGGCAGGAGAGGGAGCGGACGCCGCAAGGGAACCCGAGCCGCGCACGGCGGCCGCCGGGGCCGGGGACCGCCGCGCTCGGGATGCTCCAGCGGGACGAGCCCCGCAGCCCGCCCCGGCCGGGAGGTCCCGCTCCGCCCCGGGAGCTGCACCCCGGGCCCCCGCCGCCCCTCCCCGCGGGCCCGCCGGCCTCACCCACCTGGCCTCGGGGCGCTGCTCCGCTCCGACCGCGCCCGGAGCCGTGCGGCGGTGCCGGCGCTGCCCCGCTCCGCTCCCGCCTCCGCGCAGGACGCGGCTGCCGCGGCTCCCCCTGCAGGGCGGCGCGGGGCGGGCGCGGCCCCGGGAGCGGCCCCGGGAACGGCCCCGGGAGCGGCCCCGGGACGTGGGGCCGCGGGAACGGCTCCGGCCCCGCTCCCGGCCCCGCTCCCGGCCCCGCTCCCGGCCCCGCTCCCGGCGGGATGGGTGCTCGGCAGCCCCGCAGCTTTACCTGGCGGCCGGACGCGACCCGGCACCGCGAGGCTCGGTGCCAACACGGACGGGCCGGAGCAGCATCCCCGCAACGGGGCTGGAGGAGAGAGGGCACTTACTTGAGAGTCCTCGCTTGTCGTGAGGGACCTGCAAGTGACAGCGGCGGGCTTTGACTGGGCTGGATCTGCATACAATGAAAGGAGGAAAGAAAGGAGCGGAGAGGAAAGAAGAGAAGGAAAAGAGAAGGGAAAAGGAGAGGGGAGAGGGCAGAGGGGAGGGGAGGAGAGGAGGGCTTTGACACTACATTATTTTAAGCAGCTACTTCTTTCCAGGCTGGAAAACCCACCCAGCGAGTCGAAGCCTGCAGCTGTAGCACACAGGGCCGTGGTGGCACCGGGGGACATCGGGTCAGGCTGCACACACAGAGAAACTTCACTTTCTTCCCAGCTGCCACTGCTACCTAGGAAAGGCGCCCTGTGTATTGCCACTCTGGAAGTGTTTTAAGAGTTCTCTGCAGAGATATTGACTCTTTGACAGCAGTTTCACATTCCCACCGGGTAGGCGGCTGTGGATCCCCCAGCACACAGCACATTTCCTGCCGGCGGTGCCCCTGGGGCTGCGCCTGTCCCCAGGCAGCTCCCGCTCCCCCGGAGGACTTGGGGACAGCCATGACTCATCCGGCAGAAATTCTCAAACAGGGAGAGAACCTCTCAAGAATTTCATCCCACTCGTCGTTGTGGGTATCTTCTAAGTTTTTTAACTTCTATTTTTCAAGTTTACCTCTTAGCGAGTAAGTAATCCACGTGTTCCTATTGGGTGGACATTGCAAAGAGGAAGGAGCACCAGCGTGACTCCACGCTTCCCACCAACTCCATGGCAGGTCCCAGCCTGGGACAGACTGATCCAGCTCGGTGGCAGCCAGCCCAGGCCCCTCTGTGCAGGGACTGCCACGGTTTGGGTGTCATGCAGGGAGGTTTATTCTCGGATTCCCCACTCGGGAAGCATTCCCACATCACCGACACCCAGCACTGCTCTCGCTGCCTTCCCCGGCAGCAGCGGCACCAGCGATGCTTTTACATTTCCTTGGTATAACAAGACAGTAGGAAAGAAGGAGCAGAACTGGCAGCAGCTCCTTCAGTGCCAACCTCAACATCTATGAGCATCTAAACATTAAAAATTCAGCACTGGCAGCAGCACCTGGCACCTGAGCTGCCCTCCCCTTCACTCTTACCCCAGGCTGGTTCATGGGCTGGCTCAGCCACGCAGCTGGGAACTACAGAGCGTAGTGAAGGCTGCTCCAAACACAATGGGAATCCTCTGGGGAGCAAAACAAACAGTAATTTTTCCCAGGAAGTTACAGAAAAAGCTGGAGTAATTTACCACACAGTAACATGAAATGATTTTAAGGAACACATACACTGACTAGCCAAGTCAAGAGAAAAAGCAAAAGTGGGAGATGAGAAAATTAGGAGCCTCATGAAAACATGCTGCATAAATGATAGCTTTAGAAATGTCACCTGCCTACATGATGTTTACCAGAGCTTTTTTAAAAAATAACACTAGGAATGGGATATTGTTCATGTAATGGCCTCACATTTGCCCTGTACAAGAGGTAGTACTGTCCCACTGCTAGTTGATATTCCATGAAATTTTAAGCTGTGCAATTGTTTTTTAACTAGAGGGTCAAGTCAGAATCAGCTGCCAGGCCCTGCTGCTGCTTGGTGGTGCTCCTGTCCAGGGCAGTGTTTCCTGTATTGCAGAGGCTGCCTCACTCTTTGGCCCAGATCCTCAAAGCCATCCAAATTACTCTCTCCTACTGAAATCAATGAAAGCTGAAAATCAAAATACTTTTAAGGAGCAGAGATGCAGTTTCTAAATACAGTTTTGTTCCTGAATACATTCAACCCAAAGTTGTTGCAGTCAACCCCCTTTGCTGAACTGCCAGACTGGTTCATTCCAACCATCCCATCCTCAATATATCACCTTACAAATTTCCCAAGTCACAAACGTTGATCACCACATCTTTCTTTGAAGGACCCCAGAAATGCATCATTGGGTGTTTATTTTCCCAGTTGCAACTCTTTGATTTTTGCAGCTAACCAATTTTAAGAGTATTTGATGTAGACTACATAGATTTATTTTTAAAATCAAGTCATAGAAGATCCGAAGCAAACATCCAAGTACCTTCACAGGACTGGCTGCTAATGGCTCCCTGACCAGCTCCTAAAGCTTCTTAGAAATTACTTTCCCTCCATGGAAGTGTTCTGACACCTGAAGCACCAAACCAGCGGTACCTTCCCTCACTGGCCATTCCAGTTTGGATGGCATATCACATCCCCACTGTCACCTACTGATTTTATTTGTGCAGCTGGGAACTCTGCAGTGGTTCAAGCTGTTAAAATCAGTATTAACACCTCCCAGAGCAACTGGGCCAGACCCTCCCTGTGTTCTGCATGCTCATTTCTCACTTCTGCACAAGTAACTGTGTTTATAATGAGCAGCTGCTGTTTTATGTCCTATTGAGCAGTTGGATAGGATAATTTCCATTACTACAATAAGATCTGAATAGATCTGTTACCTTTCTTTTTGAACTAAAAAATGAATTTATTTTCTAGTGGTTCTATGCCATTGTCCCTGTCAAGTTTCAGACCATAATTCTTGTGCATATTCCATGTGCACTGTTCTTTCCTCTGGGTATTTCTACTTATGCCCTCCCTTACCAGTGGCCAATGACAGTAAATTGACAGTATGGAATACAAACAGCTTTTATTATATTTTTTATAATAAATGCAGGGGTGGTAGCAGCATAAGTGCAACTTCCCTTGGTCACTCTGGAGAATAAACCAGCATTACTGTGACTGCTGTGCCCAGGCAGAAGAAGAGATGACATGAAGGGACAGGCTGAAACCTCCTGGAAACAAAAGAGCTTCCAGCAGCCCCCGCAGCCATGGGAAGGTACTGCCACACATTCAGAGCTGGCTCGGAGCTGAAAGGAGTCCAGGACTGCAAGGACAGAAATTAAATTTTCCTGTTCTCCCATGTGGAGCCAAGAAAGGCTTTCTCATTCCTGGAAAGCAGAGCTGCAGTAACATCCTGTTCACTTCTCACTGAACAAGCCAAAGTCCTGAGTTTTGGGCAGCTGAAAAGTAGTGATAAGAGTATTTGCACTCCTCACACTCAGCAACTCAGCTCAAGCAGTAAACTCTAGAAGGCCTGTGCAGAACAACCCTTGAAATGCTTCCTTCAAAAGGGTGAGAGCAAAGTAGATCAAAACCTCACGCTCGAGACCTGTTGTGGAACTCACCTTTCTCTTTGCTGACACCTTGGGCACATCAGGGTGCCCTGGCACACGAAACAGGCTCATAACCAAACACAGCCTGCCACCCTGGGAAGAAAAATATCATACCCAGGTACTGAGACTTCCATGTGCAGGACTGAAAATGATCACTTTGCCTAGGACAGAAGCTGGAAGAATTAATCATATTTTAAAGAGAAAAATTATTTCTGTCTTTACAAAGAGATTAATGCTTTATCAGTATTGAGGCTCTTCTCTATTACGAGTCTCTATTTTCTTTCCAACCAGACTGAATTATTTAATATGTGCAAAATGACATTTAAGGGATGCATATTTTGCCAAGAAAATCAAAGTGAGTATTGCATTAGCACACGTGTTCAATGTTGTTAAACAGGACGTTAAAAATGTTGTGTTCTAACCTGAACACATCCCATTCCCACAAATACTGCCTGAATCTCCTCAAAAGCACTGAAAGGCACCTGTGTCTAAAAGAAGGGATAAGGGCACAGTTACTCAAGGTCCTTTGGATATACCAGCAAATTCTTTGACATTAAAGATAGAGAGATATATAAAAATAAAAATCTGTATGTGTGTTTATATATATGTGAATATTTCACTCACATTGTTCAACATTAAATATTAAATTTTTAAAATCAATATGGGGAAAAGCTTGATTTTTCTGAAGTGCTTTTGTTAAGGGACATGCAGAATTGTGTTGGCAATGTCCATGGCTAAAATCATAATGCAGGACACTCCCGTGTCAGAGACTGAAGCCTTTTAGCACAAACTGTTCAATTCCAGCACAGGAGGAGTTCAGCTTTAACCAAAGGCTTAAGAAGATGAAGTCAAGGTAAGATTTTCCCTCAGAGGGTAATGCAAACCATACCCCCAGCACAGTCTGAATCCAGTCTGGGTCAGGAACGAAGGAAGGATTTTCAGTAATTTCTTGTCAGTTGACCACTCTCCGTAAAAGGCACTGCCCAAACAAGACTCTGGCTTTATTTCTCTCAATGCTATTCAGCATGACAGACTATGAGATGGAATTCAATCTAAATTTAAGCACTCTCTGTAAACTATTAATAGAAGAAAAACTGGTAGCATGAATCATCATGTGGGAGCTGCAGAGCAACAGCTAAAATATAACTTACCTTTACACAATAAATGAAGTGTTGGAGTTGAAAGGCCCAGCAGAAGTCACTTGATTCTTCTTCACTTGAACTATTATAATTTCACTGTGAGGAGCAATGAGAGGGCAACTCTTATTTAACTTGACAAAATACACATTGTGTATAAAACCCAGCTTTGTCACAACACAAATTGGAGACAAAAAGTAGCTGCTGACCCTGCTCCCCACCACTCCCTGCTAGGGAATAGCATCTGCTGGAAATGTTGGTGCAAAATGACACAACTTCAGAGCTTTATGGAGTTGAGCTCATGTTTTAGCACCCCATTTCAATGCCAGCTGTACCTCTGGCCAAGAGCAGAACGGCACCAAACCTTCCTTTTACGTTTTGTCTCTGCCCAGACCGAAGTCCAGCTGTATTAATTTTGTGGGGGGGTGTTTTGCAGCTCCTGAATTGCAAAGCTGACAGTGCAAGCTGTGATTTTGCAGGGACAGCCCTGGCTGTGCCCTGGTGCAGCCCATGGACTCTGAGTGTGGCCCCATGGAGACACAGCCTGAACTCAACACGGTGGCATTTTGGTGCTCTGTGGGATATTTATTTTTGAAAAATATGATATTGTCAACAGCTCAGTGAAGTTGTCTCCAGACTGTTATGTCTCCTTCTCAAGTTTCTTTCATTTTTAAGAGCTTAACTTTTGGGCTTCTGGCGTGAGGAAAGAGCCTAAAATGGTTTAAGAAAAGGACATAAACAAGGGAGCGAGCTATG